ATTGAATGACGGCTCCTCTCCTGGGACTGCATGGAGTTCCTTTGCTGTTGCCAGGGACTTCAGGGATTCTGGACAGTGGGCCCATTGCTGAGAGCTTGTTCTGTAGATATTTATAAAGCAAGAAGAACCTAGGGGAATAGTCAACAAGCATTTACCACTCTCTTAGTGGGCAACTTCAGTGGCACAGAATGGGCCTGGGGATAAAAAACAATGTGGAAAACTCTGGGGAGGGCCTATGTAGCCAGAAGCGTGTTTGTCAGCCGAGAAATATTTTCCATGTCTATGTGCCAATTGTTTTATGTGCATTTATTTAATCTTCCTAACAAAATTCTGCATAGTAGGAATTTTTATCCCCATTTTACAGGTGAGGAAACTGAGGCGCAGAGAGCTTAAGTCACTTACCCAAATTCATACATGTAGCAAGTGCCAGGTCTGGATTTGAATTAGGTTTCAAAGCCAGTACCTTTTTCTCTTTTCTATCATGCTGCCTTTCCCTACAAGCCTAAATTTCTAAGCAATAAATATACTCCAGTGATAAATTTCCCACTTTGTTTGTTCTTGATTCCAATCTACTCTTTCCCCAGAAATAGACAACAAAGCCACCAGGGTCCTGGAGGCCGCTTCGGTCGTCCTTGCACCATAGTCAGCACAGTGGATTTTTGGCCTCGTTGCTTTCCCATCAGACTTCAGCAGAAAAAGCACTATATTTTCCAGCTCAGTACAGCACATCTCTGGCTCTATTTTCTCCCTAGCAGGAACCAGAGGGTCTGTCTCTCTGTGTGTTGTCAGACTGGCTAAAGAGTTACATATGTCGGCACAGAATACCAGGGCTTTGATGTGAGCTCTGCATCAAGGAAAGTCCTCACTGCTGCTGTGTCCTGGCTCGGGCTCTGTCTTTCATCAGGTTCCGAGATGCATCACTGCCTGCCAAGATGAATGTCAATGAAGCAGCAGTTTCGTGGGGCAAACTCTGCTTTCCAGGACCTGTGTTTGCATAGGGCAGCAAGAAGATGCTGATTATTCCATGGCGCCCAGCTTTTACTTCCTTTGGGGGAGGTCATTTGGATTCTTACTGGGTCTACATAGTCCATGACATCCAGAGGGCTTCCATGAGAGTAAAAGGCTCATGAGAGTAAAACAGTGAAGTGAGTGCATGTTACAAACAAGGCTCAAGTCCAAGCAAACAGTACTCACGTTTGCAGTTTCATGTCATTCTTATGTGAACCCCGTATGCTGGGCACAGCAGGAAGAAGTATTTCCACAACAGGCACTTGGCTTCCTCAAGATCACACAGAACCATGCCCTTGGGCCCCTGGTGTGGTGCTCCTGCAGGTGATACATTTCCCCAGATGACTGTTAGGGACCTGTCTGTGATGAGCTCTCCATGATTTTCTATCACAGGCACCTCTTCCTTTATCAACTTGGACCACATCAATAAAATTCTTAAGAGTATGTGCCCAGAGAGGCTATTCACTTCCTCTTATCCTTTCTTTCTACTTATCTTCATTTCTTCTGAGCTTTGATTATACTCTAATGTTATACTCTAATTTATTTGTCTTTTCTAATTAGAGCTAGTACCTCCAGAACAATTCTAGATAATCATAGTGATAGTGTCATCCTTGTCCTGTTCCTGACTTCAGTATAAGTGCTTGTAAATGTTTTCCTAGTAAGCAAGATGGGGTCAGATAAATAGCTTTTATTATGTTAAGAGAGTATCCCTTTATTTCTGCTCTGTTAAGAATTTTTTTAATCAAGAAAAGGTAATCTTACTCTTTAAAATGTCTTATATTTGTGTATGTTTTATCATGAACATTTTGCAAGAGTATTAATATGTAAAATTTATAAATAAATAAATGAAAATATATTAGGAGATGCCAATCTTTTTCCCCCCAACTGATTCAAGCAATCAAAAAAGTTTGGAGACTGTGCTAACTTACAGTCCCACCAACAGTGTAGGAGGGTTCCCCTTTCTCTGCATTTTCACCAGCATTTGTCATTCTCCTTTTGATAATAGCCAGTCTAACTGGGGTGAGATATTTCAATGTGGTTTTGGTTTGCATTTCCCTGATGAATAGGGATGTTGAGCATTTTTTCATGTACCTATTGGCCATTTGTATGTCTTCTTTTGAGAAATGTCTATTCAGCTCCTTTGCCCATTTTTCAATCAGATTATTTGTTTTTCGTTTTTGATTTTTTTTTATTGTTGTTTGAGTTCCTTGTATATTCTGGATATCAATCCTTTATTGGATGCATAGCTTGCAAATATTTTCTCTTATGCTATAGGTTGTTTTTTCGCTCTCTTGATTATTTCCTTTGCTGTATAGAAGCTTTTTTAGTTTGATATTCTCTCATTTGTTTATTTGTTCTTTAGTTGCCTGTACTTGTGGGGTCTAATTTATAAAGTCTTTGCTAAGTTCTACATCCTGAAGTGTTTCCCCCATGTATTCTTCTAGGAGTTTTATAGTTTCAGGTCTTATATTTAAGTCTTTAGTCCATTTTGAGTTGATATTGGCATATGGCTAGAGGTGTGGGTGTAGTTTCATTCTTCCACATATGAATATCCAGTTTCCCACCACCATTTGTTAAAGAGGCTGTAGAATGTCATTGGTATTTTGATTGGGATTGCATTGAATCTGTAGATTGCTTTGGGGAGTATGGACATTTTCACAATGTTAATTCTTCCAATCCATGAACATGGAATGTCTTTCCATCTTTTTGTGTCCTCTTTAATTTCTTTCAGCAGTGATTTGTAGTTCTCATTGTAGAGATCTTTAAACTCCTTGATTAATTTTTTTTAAGGTTTCTTTTTTTTGGGGGGGGGAGCTCTTGTAAATGGGCTGGCTTTCTTGATTTCTTTTTCTGCTAGTTCATTGTTGGAGTATAAAAATGCAACTGAATTTTGTATATTAACTTTGTATCCTGCAACTTTACTGAATTTGTTTACCAGCTCTAGGAAGTTTTTGGTAGAGTCTTTAGATTTTTCTATACATAGGATCATGTCATCTGTGAACAGGGACAGTTTGACTTCATCTTTTCTAATTTGGATGCCCTTTATTTCTTTCTCTCACCTGATTGCTCTGGCTAATACTTCCAATACTATTAAATGAGAGTGATGAGAGTGGGCTTCCTTATCGTGATAGAACTACTGTAAGATCTAGCAATCCCACTGTTGGGTGTATACCCAAAGGAATGAAAATCATCATGTCGAAGGAAAACCTGCACTCCCATGTTTATCACAGCTCTGTTTCCTATAGTTAAGATATGGAACCAACCTACATGTCCACTGATAACCTAAATGTCCATCGACAACCTAAATGTCTATTTACAGACAACTGGATAAGGAAAATGTGGTGTATATACACAATGGAATACTATTCTGCCATAAAAAAGAATAAAATTCTGCCATTCACAGAGACATGGATGAACTTGGAGAAAATTATGTTTTTGTTTTTGTTTTTTTTTAAAAAAAAGATGACCGGTAAGGGGATCTTAACCCTTGACTTGGTGTTGTCAGCACCACGCTCACCCGAGTGAGCCACGGGCCGGCCCGGAGAAAATTATGTTAAGTGAAATAAGCCAGGCACAGAAAGAGAAATACCACATGTCCTCACTCATAAGTGGGAATGTAAAAATAAATAAAGGAAGGAAGAAAGAGAAAGAAAGAACAAACACATGTTGAACTGTTAGAAGGAGAGAACAGAACTGTGATTATTAGAGGGGGGAAGTAGGAAAGGGGTTAGGGAGAAATTGGTTCATGGACACAAAGAATATGTATGTTTTATAATGATGTCATACTATCCTGACTAATGTCAACTATCCTGATTTGATCATCACATGTTGTACACAAACACCGATGGTCAACTCTGTACCCCACAAATATGTATGATCAACTATGTTTCAATAAAAAAAATAGTTTGGAGACCATGGGTTTAGAGGATTATAATAAAATTACTTATATTAAAATAGTAACATTTACCATATACAATTTAAATTTTTCTTTGGTAATGCAGAAGACCCTTCACAATCTTGAAGACTGTTAGAATCATCATTATGGATATTGGTTATCTTTTCAATTGATAGAAGGTTGGTTAACTGAAAATCAGTCACTGGAAGGCCCAAGTTCTCCTCTGAAAAAGTCCGATTTTTGTGGCCCTCTGAATGTCTTGGTTCCAGCAAGTAGCTATAACTGGACTCCCCAGCCCTCCCAATACCCTCCCTTCTATCATGCAGGCACCAAAATATGCCAGAGGTAGGCATAGAGGGTGAGCTCTTTTGGCTTGGGCCCTGCCTCTCTGGATCATGCTGCCTACAGTAGAGTGTCCTGGCTGAAAGATGCTCTTTCTGGAAGAGGCAGGGTGGGAGCTGGCACACCTATGGGCAGAGCAGTTGAAGGGTGGCAAGGAGCCAGACCTCGTAAAGACCCACTGCCTTGCTTCAGCACAGTGGTGACTTCCTATCGGGGCTACTGCCAGAAGTCTTCCTGAGTGGTTGATTCTGAAAAGCAAAGAGGCACCAGTATTCTCTGTAGTTATAAAAAGGGAAAAGATAGCTGGCGGGATAAATATCTCAACCAACAAATTCTTTTTATGGGATATCTGCCTTTCTGCAAATTTTTACTGAACCAAAACATGTGTTCTTTTTAAATTAATACATGCAGTGCAAAAACTCAAAACAATGTGCTGATATATTCTATAAAGATAATTCCCAGGCTAACTGTGGTATGGTTTACATTGTCAACCAAAGCAGGAGGTTAGGGGAGGAATTTCAGGAAATCTTAGAGATGAGAGGTTTGGGTTCACGTGAAATGACTGCTCTGAAATCTGAATTCAAGATCAATTCTCTCTCTCTTTCTTAATTACATAGTCAAAAGTGCAAATTCGATTCAACTTTAAAAGTATTTATTGAGCATTATGGGAACACAGAAGCAAGACAGTAAGATGTGCTGTCTTTTAATCTATTTAGGGAGTTAATATGTGTCCATATGGAGTAGTTAATGATTGAAGGAAATATAGAATTGAATAACAAAATAAGAAGCTTAGATTGTGTTGTGAGAGGTCGGTGACCTCGTGACTGGGATTGTATCAACAGGGGTTCTCATAAGTATAGCAGATCAAGAGAACAAGAGTGACACGTGACTTACATCTCCCTTCTCCCAACAATGTTCTGGTGTCACAGGCCCAATTTACCTGCTCAACTTCCTCCACAGGGTACTTCTGAAGGTTGTTTTGATTATTTCTTCCTGGAATGGGAAGGAAAGAAGAGCTACTGTCAGCTTATTTATATACTGCCAGTATTAAGGCAAGAAAGAAAAAATAACCTACTAGCAATTTACGAGAAAGATTTTGGTACTGAATTTAGTCTCACTGAGCTAGTAAGAACAATTGAGTTAAAATAATGGATACCCAGCGAGCACATGAAAAGATGCTCAATATCATTAGTCCAGGAAGTGTCAATTAAAGCCACAATGAGATACCACCACACATCCAGTAGAATGGCTAAAATTAAAGAGCGACCGAACATAGCAAGTATTGGTGAGGACGTACAGCAACTGGAACTCCCATGAATTTCTGATGGGAGTTCAAAATGGTGCAATCAGCTGAAAAACAGGTTGGCATCTTTTTCACAAAGCTTACTTGTGTGTACTAAGTACGTGCACCTGCCGCTTGACACAAAAATGCCAGTTCTGGATTTTACCTCCCTTCACCTGTCCCTCTGCCCCCAAAATAAAAGCATGTCTGCAGAAAAACTTGTATGTGAATGTTCATATCAACTTTATTCATAGTAACCCCAAACCATAAATAACCCAAAACAGGTGAATTGATAAACAAATTATGGCATATTCAAGCTACACAATACTACCCAGAAACAAAATGGAATGAAATATTGATGTACCCAATATCAATCAAAAACATACTTGCTGAAAGACTACTACCCACTGTAAAAATCTGTGTATATGGTATTTTAAGAAACAATTAACCTAGAGTGACAGAAAGCAGATCGTAGTTGCCTGAGGCGGGGGTGCGGGTGGGTGGGAGATGGAGTGGGAAGGGACAGAAAGGAACTTTTTGGAGTGATGCAAATGTTCTCTATCTTGATTGTAGTCGGAGTTATGCTGTTGTCAAATTTGTCAAAACTCATCAAATTGTACAGTCGAAATGTGTGCATTTTGCTGTATGTAATTTGCACTGCAAAAAAGAAAAGGAGGCACCCACCCTTTCTCATGGAAGGGTTTTAGGGACAGGTAGACCACTGAGGGGTAGCACTCACTTCTGAGAGAACGCCTTGAGGGTGATTGAACAGTAGGCAGCTGGTCCCCAAATCTGTTAAAATGCTGTAAAAAGATCGAGGCTGAGTCATACATAGGCCGGGCAACTGTGGTGCACAGTCTGCTTTGTTGGATGATTCTTTTGAGACCTGACTCAATTCACTGGCTCTTCCCTTGACTTTCTTAGCTTAAGTTGGGGTCTAGTTATTTCTGTTCTCAAAGATCTGATCACTGTGTTCCTCACGGGCTCTGCGCATCCTGATGGGGGCCTCTGCTCAGAAAGCACGGCCAGCCTTGGGGCCAAGGTGGGACCGAGCTGGGACCGAGGTGGGTGCCCATCAGAAGGGGTGCAGCAGATTGTTCTCTTTTTGAAGAAACTGGGTGTTGATAATTCTTAGCTGAGTGGGTTTGAGGAAACCCAGGTAAACCTTCCCCTCACCCCCACATTTCTCCAGACAAATCAGGGAGCCAAATGGAACAGTCCAGGTTTGGCGAGATTAGACAGACCATAATCTCAACTAAGTATGTTATGGAATGTTAAGTACAGTTCTGTAACAATGAAAATTCCCATCTTTATAACAAAATTAAGAGGGGAAAAAAAGTATGACTATGAGCAGCATCTTGTGGAAAAATCACCACTATCATGTGCAAGTAAATCATTCCCTGAGTAGCACAAGGCACTTTTCTAGGCCATTCCCATGAATTTATCTTATGTGGACAGCAAACTCCCTATCCAAGGCCCATCTTAAATTACTGTTTTCCTTTTCAATAAACCATTTTCTCCCCGAAGGGATAAATTTGTATGTTCTTGGCCAAGTTAGCAATTACACAAATTTCAAAAAAACTATGTTTCTTTTAGAAGTCAATCTTTCTTAGCTGCCTTAAGCACTTTTAGAAAAATGGAAACAAAGGGGAGGAAAAGGAAACAAAGTCAGTCCCTAAGGACATTAAGTCTTAAGTGGTTTAAGACGGACTGTATGGCTCTGAATATGATTTCTTTCCACACTGCCCAGGCCAGGGCTGGGAGTCAGCACCTGGGTCTAGTCCCACTCTCTCATTAACTAGGTATGTGACATTCAGCAAACCTAGCTTTATTCCATTTTTCTTATGGTCAAGTAAGGGTGATATCATTTTCTTAACCTATCTTAGTGACTAAAAAGTTTCACTGAAACATCAGATGTGATAACAATTTGAAAAAATTAAAAGTTTAACATGAAACCTATATAAAGTGAGTTTTTTTGCATTTAAAAGAAAACGTTTAACATGTTATAATATATGTGCTTTCATTATAGATATGTAAGGACTGGACCTCTAAAGAAACAAATATCATCTGTCATCTTTTCCTTTTCCAATACTGTTACCAGGTTAAGAATAATCCTCTGTGACTGCTCTAAATCTTTTTAAAGTTTCACACTGAGGTGCTGTAGAAATTACTTTATTATTAAAACAAACTGGAAACTGAAGCCTAGAAATGGATAAAACCTACAATTTCAAGACAAAAAAAAAAAGCAATTGGGTCATAGAAATGTCACAGTGAATAACCCCGGTATGTGGTCTGTGCTCCATCCATCCAATGAAGGCTGTAACAGTGAAACATAAACAGAATGCACACAGGTCTGTACAGTTTTTAGGGGAGTAAAAGTGTGCATGAATCTGCAGTCCAAGGGCTGGCCTTGGCATTGCCCTGGTTTCAGGTCTCACTGTGGCTCCTCTAGTCCCCTCTGGGCTTCCCTTTCTCTGCCTTGCCTTCCCCCGTGTCACCCCACCCCCGGCTCACTTCTCTTCCCCTCCCTCTTTCTCTGCTCTCTCCCTGTCACATCCTATCTGAGGGGAGAAATCACTCTTAGTTTTCTCTTTTAGGAACCTTAGGATCATGTGAAGTGTTTTTCTTTTTCTCGAGTTTATTTGGTTTAACAAATATTAATTGAGGTTAATTGAGTACATGCTGCTGGACAGAAGATACAAAGGTGAATGATACTTGGTCCCTGCCCTCACCTTGCTGAAGATCTTATGGTTGGTCTGGCTGGAAGAAGATACAAGAACGTGCTCTGGCTCTTTGAGGGGGTGGCAGCATAACCAGTTATGTGGATCAGAAGGTTTAGTGGCAGGACTTCCATCCTCGAGCCAGGCCTTGAGTGGGGAGGGAGATTTCCATGAGTGGGAATGGGGGAAGGTGGCCCTACAGGCAGAAACAAACCAAGCCAGAGGACAGAAGAGTGCCAGGTGGGTTGTAAACAACAATCAGCCCAGTCTGTCTGGAATGCAGACGGTGTGTGAGGTGGGGGTGCTGGAGCAGACGGTGTGTGGGTGAGGTTGGGGTGCTGGAGCAGACAGTGTGTGGGTTAGGTGGGGGTGCTGGAGCAGACGGTGTGTGGGTGAGGTGGGGGTGCTGGAGCAGACGGTGTGTGGGTGAGGTGGGGGTGCTGGAGCAGACGGTGTGTGGGTGAGGTGGGGGTGCTGGAGCAGACGGTGTGTGGGTGAGGTGGGGGTGCTGGAGCAGACGGTGTGTGGGTGAGGTGGGGGTGCTGGAGCAGACGGTGTGTGGGTGAGGTGGGGGTGCTGGAGCAGACGGTGTGTGGGTGAGGTTGGGGTGCTGGAGCAGTGTGTGGGTGAGGTGGGGGTGCTGGAGCAGACAGTATGTGGGTGAGGTGGGGGTGCTGGAGCAGACAGTATGTGGGTGAGGTGGGGGTGCTGGAGCAGACAGTATGTGGGTGAGGTGGGGGTGCTGGAGCAGACAGTATGTGGGTGAGGTGGGGGTGCTGGAGCAGACAGTATGTGGGTGAGGTGGGGGTGCTGGAGCAGACAGTATGTGGGTGAGGTGGGGGTGCTGGAGCAGACAGTATGTGGGTGAGGTGGGGGTGCTGGAGCAGACAGTATGTGGGTGAGGTGGGGGTGCTGGAGCAGACAGTATGTGGGTGAGGTGGGGGTGCTGGAGCAGACAGTATGTGGGTGAGGTGGGGGTGCTGGAGCAGACAGTATGTGGGTGAGGTGGGGGTGCTGGAGCAGACAGTATGTGGGTGAGGTGGGGGTGCTGGAGCAGACAGTATGTGGGTGAGGTGGGGGTGCTGGAGCAGACAGTATGTGGGTGAGGTGGGGGTGCTGGAGCAGACAGTATGTGGGTGAGGTGGGGGTGCTGGAGCAGACAGTATGTGGGTGAGGTGGGGGTGCTGGAGCAGACAGTATGTGGGTGAGGTGGGGGTGCTGGAGCAGACAGTATGTGGGTGAGGTGGGGGTGCTGGAGCAGACGGTGTGTGGGTGAGGTTGGGGTGCTGGAGCAGACGGTGTGTGTGTGAGGTGGGGGTGCTGGAGCAGACGGTGTGTGTGTGAGGTGGGGGTGCTGGAGCAGACGGTGTGTGGGTGCAGTGGTGGGTGTGGGAGGTCTTCTGGAAAGACAGGCCGGGCAGGAGCACAGGGCATACAAAAGCCCTGCTGAGGACTTTGGCCTGTGTGCTATAGGCAGCATCGAGGCAGATGTCAAGACATTGGTATTAGTCTGCTCTTACTCAGGGCACTTTACTTACATAGGTAAGTGCCCACCCTGTCTCCTGTTCTTTGCCACCCTGCCCCACCCAAGAGCAGCCATAGCCCCAGGAGGAAGGCTTGGAGAGCCATCCACCCTGCTGGGGGTCCCTACAGAACTTATGGTGGACATGGTGGTGGGGATGGTCAGCGGGCAGCTCCCAACTTCCACATCATCCAGCCCCAGGGACAGCTTGTTTCTGAGGGCCTGCATTGCACTTCAGACCCTACCTTTGACCTCCAAGGAGAAGAATACCAACAGGGTGTTTCTTGGTTCCCTGCTCGGGACCCACCGTGACTCAGGCTTCAATGTTTACTGGGATCCGCCCGCGGATGAGGTTGAGATGCGGTGGAAACTGGAGGTGCAGAAGTGGGCAGAGCTGAACCAGTGGCTGCAGCAGGGCCATTGGGGCCATCGGGGCCATCGAGCCAGCCCAGTGTGCTCAGAGGACTGCAGTTCTCCGAGGGCTCGCTCTGGGAAGAAGGGCTGCTGAGGGAGTTACTGCCATTACCAGCAAGAAGTGAGGCTGACAGGAACTTTTCTAAATCATCCGTAATAAAAAAACAAATGTCAATCAATCGTGCTAGAGGAAACACCAGGATTTCATCTTCTATCTTCTCAACAGAAAGTGACTTTAAAAAACTAGACTCCAACCAGTTAATAAATAATACTATGTTATTTTTTATTTTTTATTTTTTCTAAAAGATGACTGGTGAGGGGATCTTAACCCTTGACTTGGTGTTGTCAGCACCACGCTCACCCAGTGAGCTAACCGGCCATCCCTATATGGGATCCGAACCCATGGCCTTGGCGTTACCAGAACCACACTCACCCGAGTGAGCCACGGGCCGGTCCAATACTATGTTATTTTTCTGGATGTTCAGATATTTATGGTATTTGTCAACTTTTTAAATTTTATAATTTGTTGTGATCTTTTTCTTTCTAAATACATAGTCGCTTTCATACCTAATTTTGTATTTGTAATTTTGTATTCTTTTTCTTAAAGATTCCCAAATGGTGAAAGCTTCAGACCCCCCTTAAAATGTGGATCACCCCCTGAATGGCTCCATATTAACTCAATAAATGTTTGATTAATTACAGTTGCAAAGCACACTGAGCTTCAAGGATTGAAGAACACAGGGAAATAAACTGCATTTCAAACAAAGAAACAAACTAAACTAAATTAGTGGCTTGGCTGGAAAATCACTGTCTTCATGACTGGGACCTTTTAAAAAATTAGGACGGTCAGTGTTTGGCTCCAGGCAAATTCCACACCCAACATGGTGGGGCCAGTTTGCCTGACTGAAACTAAGTATCCAATTAGGGCTCTGCTAGAGCCACAGTTACGTGGCATTAAAAATTTATAATGCCATTTCCACATGTAATTTTCAGCAGATTATTTTTCCAATTTAGTTCCCCAATTTTAAGTTAGTTGGGATGTGCAAACATAAAGGATTCAGGAAGGAGGAAAAGTATAATTTTACTGTCTACATGCAAATTTTCTGTGTCAAAGCACAAAGATGCTATTTAAAAACAGACAAAATGTTATATCAGCATTTTAACCAAAGTCCAATTTAATACGTAATTTCATAGTACAATTGGCTCATCTTGCTTTATTTTATAGAGTGGATGCATTTGAAACATTACAAAAACTTGTTTAAAAAAAGAAATGGAATATTTCTGAGTTTGCTACAAAATAATAGTTTATGGTACTAGACAGTGGTGAAGTGTAGATGGTTTTTTGTGTTATACTGCTATGAAGTTATAAGTTCCCAAAGTTACAACTTATGGTGTTAAAAATCTAAAACATGGAAAATATATACTAACAATGGTTTTCAAAATACTGAACAGCAGAAAAGGAAGGACAGTGGTCCCTGAGAGACAGGTAACAAACAAGATAAATCCTGCACTTGCCCTCGCTTACTGCCTCAAGAGAGTTTCCAGGCCACAGTGCAACGAGGGGGAACCGAAAAGGAGTCCAGCAACCTCCTTTAAATAGAGGAGACAGAGTTGAGACTACGGGGAGACCAGAGCTGGTAGAAGACTTGGATGACACTATCAACCAATTTGACGTAATTGACCTTGAAAGAAAACACATTCTTTTTAAGTGTACATGGGAAATTTACCAAGATCAAACATATTCTGGGACATAGAACAAATCTCAATAAGTTTAAAAACATTCAAGTCATATAAACTATGTATTCTGACTACAATGGAATTAAATTATAAGTCAATAACAGAAAGAGATCTACAAAATCGCCAAATAGCTGGACACTAAACAGGCTTCTAAATAACCCTTGGTTAAAAAAAAAAAAATCCAAATAAAAATGAGAAATTATCTTTCACTGAATGAAAATGAAAACACAACATTTCAAAATTTGTGGGATGCTGCAAAAGCAGTACTTAGGGAGAATTCTATAGCATTAAAAAACCTGTATTAGAAAAGAAGAAAAGTCTCAAATCAATGACCTTGGCTTCTACCTTAAAAAGTCAGAAAAGCAAATAAGACCCAAGGCAAGTAGAAGAAAGGAAGTAATCAAGATCAAAGTGGAAATCAAGGAAAAGAAAATAGAATAAAGAATATCAATAAAACCAAAGCTGTTTTTTTGAGAAGTTCAATACTGGTCAGTAAAAAGGGAAAATAAATTACCAATATCAGAAATGAGAGAGGTCTTATCATTAAGGATTTTATAGATAATAAAAGGATAGTGAGGGAATATTATTAAATTTGTGCCAGTAAATTTGACAACTTAGATGAAATATACAAAGAAGCAAACTCTTTGAAAGATCCTAACTACCAAAGCTCACTGAAGAACAAAATAAGAATCTTCACTTCCACTACTTCTATTTAACAGTGTATTGGAAGTTCTAGCCAGAACAATAAGGCAAAAATGAAACAAAACAAAACAAACCCAAACACCCAGATTAGAAAGAAAGAAGCAAAACTGTTTGTATTGTCAAATGATATGATCACTTATGTAAAGAATATAATAAAATCTACTAAAAAACTACTAGAAATAACTGAGTTTCAAGAGGTTGCAGAATGCAAGGCCAATATACAGAGATCAATTACATTTCTATATACAATGAAAAATCAGAAATCAAAATAAAAACATTATAATTTACAATAGCATCAAAATATAAAATACTTAGGGATACTCAACAAAAAACGTGGAAGACCTATACATTGAAAACTGCAAAACATTGCTGAAATTAAAGACCTAAATAAATGAAGAAGTATAGTATATCCATGGGTTGGAAGACTCAAAATTGTTAAGATGTCAATTCTCTTCAAATTGATCAATGCAACCCCAGTTAAAATCTCAGCCACTTTTTTCCTGGTAGAAATTTAAAAACCTGATTTTAAAATTCATGTGGAAATGCAATAAATCTGGAATAGCCAAAACAAATTTTAAAAAGAACAAAGTTGGAGGATTAACACTACCTGATTTCAACACTATAAAGCTACAGTAATCAACATGGTTTGGTAGTGGCATTAAGATGGATAAATAGATCAATGGAACAAAATAGAAAGTCCAGAAATAGACCCACACTTGTACAGAAAATTGATTTTTGATAAAGATACAAAGGCAATTCAGTAGAGAAATGATAGTCTTTTCAACATATTGTGCCGGAATAATTAGATATCCAAATAACACAACAAATGAACTTCAAGCCATACGTCATGTACCAAAAAAATGAACATCCCAATTTAAAAAATGGGCAAAAAATTTGAACAGACACTTCACCAAAGAAGATATAGAAATGGCAAATAAGCACATGAAAAAATGCTCAATATCATTTGTCATTAGGGGAATACAAATTTATACCCCAATAGATGCCTAGTGCAGTAGCTGAAATTAAAAGGACTGACCATACCAGGTGTTAAGAAGGCTAAGCAAGTAGAACTCTCACACTATTGGAGAGAATTTAAAATGATAAAACTACTTTGGAAAACAGTTTAATAGTTTTTTAAATGGTAGACATACATGTACTATATTTTCTACTTCCCGGTATTTATCCAAGGGAAATGAAAAGCATATGTCCACTCAAAGACTTCATGTGAATGTTCACAGAAGATTTATTTGTAATAATCAAACACTGTACTGGAAATAGCCCAATGTCCATCAACAGGTGAATGGGGAAACAAATTGTAGTATATCCATGTGATAAAATACTAGTCAGAAATAAAAAGTAATGAACTATTAGTACATGTTACTACATGGATGAATCCCAAAATAATTATGCTGAATGAAAAAAGTCACATAAAAAGAGTACATAATGCATAATTTTATTTATATAAAATTCTAGAAAATACAACTTATAGCGACAGAAAGCAGATCAGTGGTTGTGGGTGGAGGTTGCAGAGAGAGAGGCAGGTGGGAGAGATGACAAAGGGACATGAACTGGCTATTATTAAAAAGACCAAGAATAATAAGGTGAGAAGGCGGGGAAAGAACTCTTCTACACTGTTGGTGGGACTGTAAATTAGTAAAGCCATTATGGAAAACAGTATGGAGGTTTCTCAAACAATTACAGATAGACCTACCATATGATCCAGTAATCCCACCGCTGGGTATATACCCAAAGGAATTAAATCATCATGTGGAAGGGATATCTGCACTCCCACATTCATTACAGCTCTCTTTTCAAGAGCCAAACTACGAAACCAACCTAAATGTCCACCAATGGATGACTGGATGATGAAAACATGGTATATATACACGATAGGATACTACTCAGCCATAAAAAAGAATGAAATTTTACCATTTGTAGCAACATGGATGAACTTGGAGAAAATTATAAATTAAACAACCCAGGCACAGAAAGAGAAATACCACATGTCCTCACTCATAACTGGGTGGGAAGGAGGGAGGGAGAGAGGGAGGGAGGGAGGGAGGGAAGGGAGGGAGGGAGGAAGGAAGGAAGGAAGGAAGGAAGGAAGGAAGGAAGGAAGGAAGGAAGGAAGGAAGGAAGGAAGGAAGGAAGGAAGGAAGGCAATAATATGTTGAACTTTCAAAAGAAGAGAACAAACCTAAGGATACTAGAGATGGGGGGAGGGAGGGAGGCGGGTTGGGGAGTGATTGGTCGGGTAAGGGGCATAAAGAATAATTACAATTTGTAATAATGAATATGCTAATAAAAATATATATATAAAAAAGGAAAGTTTTGAGGCGATGGAAATATTTATTCTGATTGTGGTGATGATTTCACGGGTGTAAACATATGTCAAAATTTATCAAATTATACACTTTAAATATGAGCAGTTATTTGTAGGTCAATTATACCTCAATAAAACTATTAAAAAAGAAACACCAGTCTTGTGACTTGGCTTCAGGCACGTAAAGCAAAATATAGGTTAGGGAGCTGTAAAATCACAGAACTTCAAGATATTAACTTCATTTGGTTCTAAAATGTACCTTTTCTTTAATTGTGAAATAAACTACTTTTGTTAATTACCCAGTGAATAGGCCGTAAAGTCCATAACGAGGTTCTGCCTACACACACAAATCAAGCAGATCAAGTTTTTTTTAAAAAGCCTTCATCATCCCCCGTTTTTTTCTCTTTCCTTATCTTGGGGATGGAGGGAACTACTTTTGTTAATTACCCAGTGAATAGGCCTTAAAGTCCATAACGAGGTTCTGCCTACACACACAAATCAAGCAGATCAAGTCTTTTTTAAAAAGCCTTCATCATCCCCCGTTTTTTTCTCTTTCCTTATCTTGGGGATGGAGGGGGGAGGAGAAGGCGGGCATACAAAAAAGATTTAATATAAGGAAATATACACAATAGGTTGTCAGAAATTTATTATGTGAAACTAAAAAATGTATACCACTATCCAAAAAATAAATTTATCCTTTCTCCCTACCTTTCTTTTCCTTCTTTCTTTACTATCCTTCTTTACTTTTAAAAATATCCTCCCTTCTTCCTTTCCCTTCCCTCCTTTTTTGCCTGCTCTCTTTCCACCTTCTGTCTCTTACTCCGCACACCCCCACCTCCTCCATTTGCTGGCAGGATTGCACAGAGCCTCAGACTACAGCATAGACTGCAGCAGCTGCCCAAGTTCAAATCCTTTGCTCACTGTGTTAGGCATGGTGTTTAATATCTCCTGCTTTAGCTCCTCTATCTGTAAATGGGCTAATATCAAATGTTCCTTCCTCGTAGGGTGCTGTGAGGATTTAATGAGCACTTGGAATAAGTAATCACGATGTGTTACCATTTTCAGAGTCCCATTCTATCTAACCCTAACCCTAACCCAGGCACACTGGATTCTAATGAGTTAAAAACAAATCGCCCTAGGCTCAAAGAAGAATGCAGAAAGCATGAGGTTCCAAGTTCTGGAAACTGGTTCAGGCTCAGCCAGTCCCTGACTGTTCCCCAACCCTGACTGTCTTACTTTTACATCAAAGCTTAAACTGTTGATTGGTAAAGTAAGAAGTTCGGTGTAGAAAAGTGTCTCTATGGTCCCATCCAGCTTTTACCACTGTTTCTTGTAATTCAAAAGTTTAAAAATATTATCAAATGGAAAGCTTTTTGTTAACTTTTAGGCACAATTGAGAAGTGGCATGGATTTTCATGTTACAATGAAGGCCATTTGTTATTTAGTAAGAAAGATTAACATTACAATTACATGGACATCACAATTGTTAAAATTTTAGTGGAACACTAAGTTACCTCTTTAATGTTTTAGGAGAAATTGTGACATACAGTTTGATTTTTATCTTCTGAAATTGAACATATTCAAAGTTCTGGATTGGAACTCCCACTTTCCAAAGTCATGCATGAAATACCTTGAGAGGTTAGCAATCTGTGTACTTCATCTGTGAGTGGAGGGTGTCCCATTAGCTTGGCCCTAGTTACCCAGCAGGAGAAATCCTCATTTCACGAACACAGTCTCAGGTCAAGTAGTTTAAGTGGGTGAGTGAAGTAACCATAGAAAACTAGAGTTCCCATGCCTCACTGTGTGTGAAATTCCCTGCAGTAAGTGTAATACTCTACATATAATGCTGTCATCCAAGAAAAATACTCAGGGGTTTTAGAAGGGAGATTTAATGTAGAAACTATTTTTAGTTGGCCTCATCACACATAGCTTCTCTGATTGTATGATTTGGGGAAGACTAGAGAGATGACTAGGTATGACTTTGGAATGGAGCATGTAGCAGGCCTTGGTGCTAATTTGAAGGGGTATTACTATGACGGGGAGGGAGATTCCCTGTAACACCCTACTGGAGAAATTGCCAAATGTGTTAGAAATTCCTAATAACCTAAAAATTGAAGTAGGAATGTTACACTTCTATTGGCTCAAGTCCTTATCTAGAAACTACTATGGGCCGGCCCCGTGGCTCACTTGGAGAGTGCGGCACTGGCAGCGCCGAGGCCGCAGGTTCGGATCCTATATAGGGATGGCCGGTGCGCTCACTGGCTGAGCGTGGTGTGGACCACACCATGCCGAAGGTTGCAATCCCCTTACCGGCCCCCGCCCCCCAAAAAGAAACTACTACACTGATCACCCAATCAATAGATACCAACTTGTCCACTGAATACATATTGACTACAGGGACCAAACAGGAATTTCAAAATAAATGAACTTTGATTAGATTTTTTGTGTCATTCCAATTATAAGTCCCAAGTCCCATAGTTATTTACCAGGAGTGTTCCTCGTTAGTCCTCATAATTCCTAGAGGAAGTCTTTATACAGCTCTCTGCTAGAATGAGTTACTCCCACAAAGCCTATAACATGGATGATTCTATGTCATTCCCCGCTAGCTGGAATCACCTGTCTCAATTTGTGCATTCTTTTAGCTGTTCAGAGAGAGCCAGAGGTAATCATAGCCTTGTGGACTCTGCATATCCACAAGTGGACCTGCAAAACTCTTGCCCCATCTAGTGAGTAATTTCAATATTAGACTGGTTGTCAGAAGAAAGTGGATGAGAACCAGTTAGACTGATTCAGTATCTTGACTGGCCATTATAAAAGTTGAGAGGGGAAAAATAGTTCAACCTGGCATTAAATCAGGACTCGAAATCTTGAATGTATGAATATGTATATGTACGTGTGTGTCTCCACATATTTGGGATACCAAACAGGAAATTCAAGTTCTACTCTGATTTCCAGGATGGGGCTAGTTAAAGGGTAGCAGGAAATCTTTATAGATCACTGCTGGCTAAGTTCATTAAAAATATCACTTTAGTTTATTAAAAATTGGGAAACACAGGACATAAAACACAGCTCCACAGAAATATAAGCTACTACCATTTTAGTGTATTTCCTACTAGATGCTTTTCTGTGCATATTTTCATATAGTTGAGATCACATATATGTATGTACTATTTGGTCTTGTACTTATACTTATGCTGTTCTGTGCATTTCCTTATATTGTTTTTGTAGTTATATTTAATGTCAAAATAATATCTATTGTAGTTATATTCTAATGTGGTTAACTGTTTTTGCATTGTTGGACATAATGTTGTGCTGTTATGAACAATTGCACATAAATCATTGCATTTTTCTCTTTAAGATTATTTCCATGACATGGAATTACAAGAGTAAGGAGTTAATACGTTTTTAAGGCTCTAGATACATTTTGCCAAAGGTTTGTGACAAAATATTATCTCACTAACAGTGCATGAGAATGTTCCATTACATGGCAATATTGTCAGCATTGAGTGTTTACTGCAAGAAGAAAAAATCCTTGCTAACTTGATGGTAAAACAATATTTTATTATAATTTCATTCCACATTTCTGATTACCAGTTATAATAATATATTTCTTCTTTTGTTTTTCCTCTTCTGCCCATAACTTGTTCATACCATTTGCTCATTTTCCCATTTTTCATTCACACTAATAAAATTTTGTTTTATGAAGTCTCCATTGAAACAATAAAATACTCACTAGAGTTCATGTTATTGATTTAAATATTTATTTAAACAAATATACTGAAAGCTATAGTTTATTGATAAGAAAAATATAAAGCATACATGTTTATAGATCATTATGTAATGACACTGTAGTAAACAGATTCTCCAAATAACATGATTAGTTTTGTACTACTAGTGGAATGCATTCTGCAGAAACATGGTTTTACTTTCAAATCTGAGCATATTACCTTTTCATCAAAAAAAGAAAAAAAGGATAATAAAAACACAACTTTGATTAGTTTAAATTTTAGTAGACCACATCTGATTTGTTGAAGAGCAATTCTTTTATTTACCTCTTCAAGGAAGTGATTATTTTTGTCATCTCTTCTTGTGCCTCTTTATCCTATGAAGAAAATACAAATACAAAATGAAATTTCACACATTCATCCTGATACTTCAAGTACTTTGAAACAGACTTTTGTTGAGTACAGGCATATTTTTATTATTTTTTCATTTATATATATCTATTGGGTATGGAGTTGACTATCAGTATTTGTGTATAATATGTAATGATCAAATCAATATTATTTGCATGTTCATCATTACAAACTGTAATTACTTTTTGTGTCCCTAACCCAGTTACTCCCTATCGTCCCTCTCCTTCTGCCTTTCCCACTTCTGATAACTATAGGTCTGTTCCTTCCTTCTGAAAGTTCAACATTTTAATATTATGGTTTCTCTTTCTTTGTTTCTTAGATCCCTCTTATGAGTGAGGACATAAGGTGTTTCTCTTTCTGCAGGCATATTTTTTGAAAGACCATTACAAAGAAACTGTGGATTTCTTAGGACCAGGCATGATCCAGATCTATGAGAATGTGGGTAATGTGGAGAGTTATCTCCAGGCTCTTCCTCCACCAGATCAGGAGCAGTGAGATTCAGGAAGGAGAGAGGATTTCATATGAGCAGACACAATGGATCTACCAGTGTGTTAACATTATTACTGTTTTCTTCTTCACCTATGAGATGTGAAGAAGAAATATGCAATTCCACTGTAAGAGCCTGACAAACATATATTCCATTATTGACTTTATCAGGTAGCTTATATTTAAGATTAAAAAATCACGTAGTCTGTTTTTCAGGGCACCACATGTATTGTTATTTCTTTACAACAAATGTGGATATTAGAAAGAGTGGCAATAAATTCAGAAGGAAGGGTAGTTTTATGCATATTTTGCATTTAACAAACATTTACTGAGCACCTGTTGGAAAGGACTTAAGGAGTGGATATTAGAAAGAGTGGCAATAAATTCAGAAGGAAGGGTACTTTTATGCATATTTTGCATTTAACAAACATTTACTGAGCACCTGTTGGAAAGGACTTAAGGAATGTAACAAATTAAAAATGCACAGATGAAGAAAATGGGACAAGGTATATATTTGGAAGTATTTTTTTTTAAACGGGAAGTTCTCCAACTGTTTTAATCATAAACATTAATATACTGTAGTGATCAACAAAAAGTCTACCTCTATTAAACAATACTTCCTAAAGGTTGTAAGAAAATAAGATTAATGATATCTGGGATATTACTGTATAATTTAAAAGAACTTATAAAAAATCCCTAATTCCAGGTATTGAGATTCATCTTTATCTTTGTAACTGTTGGCTATCTCAGTGCCTGCAACCTAGAACGGCCCTAAATAAATGCTATGCTAGAACACGGTAACAATTTTCTATATCTAGGAATCAATTTCTTACATAGGTGAGAGAATTATTTCTATTATATGACTAAAGAAATGAATTTTCACAAGCTATAGTAAAAGAGAACCCTAATGTGTTCTGGATCCCATTCTCTCTGGCTTCCTAGAGACTTTATTCTATGAATCATCTTCTGTCTCTCCAGTCTTTCTTTAACCCTTCCTTCTTTGTGCCTCTTTCTCATTATCATTTAAAAGTGCTCCTATATTTTCAATCTAAGATTAACTGTTCCTCAACTCAAGCATCCCTTCCACTTCCACCTTACATTTCTCCTCCCTTTCTCATCACATTTTTTGGAAGGGGATCTACACATACTGACTGCATTTTCTCACCTTCTGATTGCTCTGCACTTTGGTCTCCACTTCTATTGCTCTACTGAAACAGTCTGGGTTAAGATCACCAGTGACACAGACATCATGAAATTCAGCAAACTCATTCCAGTCTCTTGCTTGTTTGGCTTCTCCAGAGTATCTGATGGAGTTGACCACTTCCACCATCCCTTGGCATCTGAGGCCCCATCTTCTCTGGCCACTTCTTTTGTTCTCACTTGCAGGTTCCTTCCCTGCAACCCCCTCATTCCATTATGTTGGTATTTGTTAGGGGTTGATGCTCTGCCTTCTGCTTTTCACATATTATATAACCTCTTTGGGTGATCTCTTCCAAAGTTGTGGCTTCAGATATTATTTATATGCCAAATAACCAATTACTCACTGGACTTGAAAAATCTCACAAACACAAACTCAACACTCCCAAACTGAACTCACCTTCTCCACCAAACCTGGTTCTCCTGTATTCTCTGTGTCAGTAAAGGGCACCATTGCACTTGCCCTGGTCAGTTTCCCAAGCCAGAAACTAAGATGTCATCCTTGATTCCTCTTTCTCCCTTGATAATCAATCTCCAAGTCTTGTAGAGAATACTACCTATGAATCTGTTCTCTCTTCTTCATTCCTCACTGCCATCATCTTAGTTCAGGCCATCACATCATGTCGGTGTCATTGCAGTAGTTACCTAAATGGTATCTCTGCTTCCAGTTTTGTTCCCCTCCAATCCAAGCCAGTCACCGCATGGTAGCTATCATGCTTCTACAAACTTCATCATGTTATCTGCTGCTTAAGACCCTCCTATGCAACATATAAGGCTCTCATCTTTTCTCTCCCTCAAGTACTTAACATTTCAGTTATACTGGACACTTGATTCTCTGTTTTTATGTATTATATTTCTGCTCACCAGACATTTGTCTGTTTTCTAGTACTTCATAAAGTATGGCCTGTGTACTACCTGCATCAGTGTCATCTGGGATATTTGCTACTGTCACGGATATTTGTCTGTGCTTCCATTCACCCTTGTCATACAGATACATATTTCAACACTAACATAACAGAACACACTGGGAAGAGGATTTTCCCAAGGCCGGAGTCTAGGCATTAAAGTCTTAAAAACCAAGATATAACTTCCATATAGAATATATACAGGAAGGAGCCATCTGACAGCAGGTCAACAGAAATATTCATGAGGTAAACCTTTGTGTTCTCCATTTTTCTGTTACATAAAAAGTTATTTTGTGTTCTCCATTTTTCTGTTACATAAAAAGTTATTTTCTGATAGAATACAAATCTTTGTAAATACGTTTAGAGCTGCACAAAAAATAGAAACTGATCAACAGTGATGGAATATTAAAGGAAAAATGGCCCAATTACTCAGCATAATGTTTCATGGTTTGTAAAAAGACAAATATCAACATATTACATTTTTCATCAGCATCTTTTACTGCATACATATTCACTAGGACTAATCTATTAAGTATTACTAAATTCTACACTTCCAAGAATGCATCACAATTCTATACATTTATGCTACACTTTTTCCCAGTAATATGTCACCGGGTAAAAGTTTAAATTATTTGTTGGATTGGGTGCTAAAAGGTTCTTGATAGAGTTTTATTTTTCCATATGAATTATGAAGGCACTTCTATGTTGAATTGAGGGCTGGGAATCTCCCCAGTGTAAGAACTTTTAATTTAATTTTTTTTTCCTTTTTGTCTTTTTCCGTGTCCGGCAACGGATCGCAACCCTCAGTGTCGCCCCCGTACCGGACCGGGACCGGCAACGGGAT